GATAAAGGGATATGATGAATATGGTTATGGTAGTAAGGTTGAGTTTATGAGGGCATGGGTTATATGGAGTTAATTCCCTCATATTCTTCATAAGTTTAGGTAATTTTATTTATTTAATATATTTTTAATATTTATATATATTTTATTTATAAATAAAACAAATTTATATGAATATATCTTTAAAATATAAGATAATTCATTATTTATAAATAAAACGAATTTATATGAATATATATTTAGAAAATAAGATAATTCTTAATAAACAAAACAAAATTTATATGAATATATCTTTAGAAAAATAAGATAATTATTGTGAATTATGTTGCTATCTTGAAATATTTTTATATATCAAACATGTAAAAAATTGATGTTTGCTGATTTGTCATATTTTCCATGATTTTAGATAATTTTGATAATTTATCTTAATTTATATTAATTTATATATAATTTACTATATATTTAAAACAAACTTTGATTAATAGTATCAGATTCTTAGAAAATAAGATATTTTTAGGTATTAAATTGATATCTTGAAAATATATTTTTCTATTAGAAATTTGAAATTAAGATATAAAAATTTGTATTTGTTCTATAATTAAAATAAATTTACGCTAACAATATTATACTTTTATAAAACAAGGTAATTATTATGTATTATGTTGCTATCTTGAAAATATATTTTTATCTTATATAATTTACAAATAAAATAGAAATTTATCTATTATTAATTAAATATAAATCATCACTCAAAATAAATATTTGAGAAGAGAATTTGCTGACTCACTAAGTTCTCCATAATTTTAGGTAATTTTAATTATATGTCATAATTTCTATAATCTTGTATAATTATTATATAATTAAAAAATATCATATTATATTTTTAGAAAATAAATAACTTATGCAATATATTGTTATCATGAAAAATATGTTTTTCTATTATAAAATTTAAAATTAAGATATAAATATTATAATTAAATATAAATCAAAAAATAATTATAAAATATATATTCTCTTAAATATTTATGATGTTTGAGTTTTGTCATTGATAATTATTTGATGTTTGATTTTTACCTTTTGAAAACATAAATAATAACTTATTATGCTGATTTTTAAATTAATGAAATATCAACTAATAAATATTCATAAGAGAATTATGCCTGCAAGTGCGAGCAAAACACTTAGTCTATACTACTATTTGATAATTAAATTTACTGATTTGTCAACTTCTCCATAATTTTATTTATTTGTCATATTTTAATAATTTTATATATAATTTATTATATGATAAAACCATAATAATATTATATTATTAGAAAATAATTTAATTATCTTGAAAATATATTTCTAATTAATTTGTAGTTTCTCTGTGATTAGGTAATTTACTTATTTATCATGTTTTTGATAAATTTATATATAATAAAATCAAATTATATTAATAAATTCATATTTTTAAGATAAGATAGTTCTTATGTATTATATTGTTAATTTGAAAATATATTTTTCTATTATAAAACTTAAAAAAATAAGATATAAAAACATAATGGGAGAATTTCAATTATACCACTTTGGTGGTACCACTTTTCATGTTTACCATCAACAAAGGAACATTTTAAAAAATACACATTTTATTAAATGATAAAAGACTCTTATATCTTTGTTCTTTATATATATACATAAAATAAATATTAAATAAAATATTAACCCTAAACCTTAAAACATCAATTCTAAACTCTAGACCCTAAAAAGTAAACTCTAAACCCTAAAAATCAACCATAAACCCTAAAATATCAATTCTAAACCTTAAACCCTAAATTCTAAACCCTAAAAAGTAAACCCTAAACCCTAAACCCTAAAAAATCAACACTAAACCCTAAAGTATCAATCCTAAACCCAAAACCCTAAACCATAAATTCTAATAGTATTTTGAGTATTAAAATTTTAATGGTAAAGTTGGTTAGTGTAAAGTTGAAAAGTGGTATCTTGAAAGTATTATTTGTGGCAATTTCCCAAACATAATTTAATATTAATTAAGCAATGATGATTTGTCAACTTCGCTATGATTTTAGGTAGTTTTGTTTATTCATCATCATTTAATAATTCATCTATAATTATTATATAGTAAAACTGAATTATATTAATAATTTTATATTTTTACAAATAAAATAATTCTTACATATTAAATTATTATCTTGAAAATATATTTGAAATTTAATTGAATTTTCTCATTTATAACTTCTCCATAATTTAGGTAATTTTGATTATTTTCATATTTTTAATAATTTTAAATATAAGAAAAACAAATTTCTATTTATAATATTATCATTTTATAAAATAAGATATTTCTTATGTACTACATTGTTATCCTGATAATATATTTTTCTATTATAGAAACAAAAAATTAAGATATAAAAATTAATAATTAAATATAAATCAAGCAAAAAATTATTAATAATATATTAAGAATATTATATTATTAAAATAAGTTATTTCCTATGTATTAGATTGTTATCTTGAAAATATATGGGAAATTGCCCGAAATAACACTTTCAAGATACTACTTTTCAACTTTACACTAACATTACCATTAAAATTTTAATAGGCAAAATACTATTATACTTTTAACTAATTAAACTTAACAATCTTAATAAGGTTTTGATGGATTAGGATATAGACTTTGCAATTTAGGGTTTAGGGTTAACAATTTAGGGTTTAGAGTTTAGGGTTTAGAATTTAAGGTTTAGGGTTTAGAATTTAGGGATTAGGATTTCAAATTTAGGGTTTAGAATGAAAGGTTTAGGGTTTATGGTATAGAATATAGGGTTTATAATTTTAGGGTTAGGGGTTAAAATTTAGAGTTTAGGGTTTAGAATTTAAGGTTTAGGGTTTACTTTTTAGGGTTTAGGGTTTAAAGTTTAGGGTTTAGAGTTTAGGGCTTAGGGTTTAGAATTAATGTTTTAGGGTTTAGGGTTTGTTTTTGGGGTTTACTTTTTAGGGTTTAGAGTTTAGGGTTTAAAATGATATTTTAGGGTTTAGGATTGATTTTTAGGATTCAGGGTTTATTTTTAGGATTTAGGGTTTAGAATTGATGTTTTAGGGTTTAGGGTTAATTTTTTAGAGTTTAGGGTTTGAATTTCAAAATAGTATAATTCGAAAAAAATAAAAAATTTATTTTTTTTTTTATGTTTTTTATTTATTTAAATATTTATTTTATATATATATACAAAAACACAAGGGTATAAGAGTTTTTTATACTTTAATAAAAAGTGTATTATTGAATATGTTTCTTTGTTGTGGTAAACATGAAAATTGGTATCGCCAAAGTGGTATAAATGAAACTTCCCCTTAATGTATTTCTAATTATTTGTAATTTATCTCTGATTTAGATAATTTGTGTATTTATCATGATTTTAATCAATTCACATAATTTATTATATGATAAAACAAAATTTTATTAATAATATTATATTTATAAGATAATATAATTCTTATGTATTATATTGTTAATTTGAAAATATATTTTTCTATTATATAAATTAAAAATTAAAAAAAAAATCATAATTAAATATAAATCAAGCAATGTTGATTTGTTAATTTATACATGATTTTAGGCAATTTTGCTTATTTATCGTCTTTTAATAATTTAATATATAATAAAGCCGAATTTATATTAATGATATTATATTTTAGAAAAATAAGATTATTCTTATGTATTAGATTGTTGTCTATATATTGGAAAATTGCCAGAAATAACACTTTCAAGATACTACTTTTCAACTTTACACTAACTAACTTTACCATTAAAATTTTATTACTCAAAATACTATTAGAATTTAGGGTTTAAGGTTTTGAGTTTAGGATTGATAGTTTAGGGTTTAGTGTTGATTTTTTAGGATTTAGGGTTTACTTTTTAGGGTTTAGAGTTTAGGGTTTAAGGTTTAGAATTGATATTTTAGGGTTTAGAGTTGATTTTTAGGGTTTAGGGTCTAGAGTTTAGAATTGATGTTTTAAGGTTTAGAGTTAATATTTTATTTAATATTTATTTTATGTATATATATAAAGAACAAGGATATAAGAATCTTTTAGAGAAATTGCCAAAAATAACACTTTTAAGATACCACTTTTCAACTTTACACTAACCAACTTTACCACTAAAATTTTAATAGTCAAAATACTATTAGAATTTAGGGTTTAGGGTTTTGGGTTTAGGATTGATAGTTTAGGGTTTATTGTTTATTTTTTAGGGTTTAGGGTTTACTTTTTAGAGTTTAGAGTTTAGGGTTTAAGGTTTAGAATTGATATTTTAGGGTTTAGGGTTGATTTTTAGGGTTTAGGGTTTATTTTTTAGGGTTTAGAGTTTAGAATTGATGTTTTAGAGGTTAGGTTTAATATTTTATTTAATATTTATTTTATGTATATATATAAAAAACAACGATATAAGAGTATTTTATCCTTTAATAAAATTTGTATTTTTGAAAATGTTTCTTTGTTGATGGTAAACATGAAAAGTGGTATAATTGAAATTCGTTTTATAAAATTATAAAATTGTTTATATAAATTCGTTTTAGTTATATAATAAATATAATAATTTTATATTTTAATTTAAACTTAAGTTTTATATATAAAATATATTTCAAGATAAGAGCATAATTCAAAAAAATTATCTTATTTTCTAAAAATATGATATATTCATATAAATTCGTTTTTATTTATAAATAAATTATATATAAATATTAAAAATATGATAAATAAACAAAATTACCTAAATCTAAGGAGAACATGACAACTAAGCAAATTTAATTTTTAAATAATAGTATAGAAATATAATAATTTTATATCTTAATTTAAATTTAAGTTTTATATATATTTAACCATTAGATCAATCTCTCTAGCTCCAAAGTGTAGTGGGTTCGCATCATACGGTCAAAGAGTAATAAACCCTAATATATATAGGTATCTTTTCTTCGCTTTTTCGTTTCTTCAAGCTTTTTTTTTTCTTTTCCATGTGTTTCACAGATCGGGCTTCTCCCATGTTAAGTTGTTGCAAAAAGACACGAAAGACAGTCACCAGAGATGAAGAAGGACGCGGAGATTTGTGTCTTTGTTTGGATATAATAGTGGAGATACTCAAGAAACTCCCGGCAAAGTCACTTGTGAGGTTCCGAAGCGTCTCCAAGCAATGGTCAACCATTATCGGCAGCCGCAGAGACTTCATAGAGTCTATCGTCGCTCGCTCTCTCAGACAGCCTCCCCTGGAGCTTCCCATCTTCATCTTCCACCATTGTGTGCCTGAAACGTTCTTCACTGTTTCCCCTGTTTTCTCTCCGACCCCCACCGACCATGTAGTAACTATCCCTCGACCAAGTCCACGGAACTCCTTCCACTATCAGTACTCCCGAGGCTTGATCTGTTGCTCTTCTTCAGAATCTCATTTGGTTACCATATACAACCCTACTACCAGGCAGCTTTTTCCCTTACCCGAGATCCAAGCCCCTGCAACACGGTCCGAATTGAGTTCCTGCTTCTTTGGCTACGACCCTATCACGAATCAATACAAAGTCTTGTCCATTGTCGTTGTCAACGATGACGAGCAAAGTTATCATGTTTTCACATTAGGGTGTCAACAGTCTTGGAGGAAAGTCAAAGGCATTGATGAAGAATCCTTTCCAAACGATTACAGTGTATGCATTGACGGGACTATCTACTACAACGCAAAGAGAGGTGTTGAGACTATGTTGCTGAGTTTCGATATTAGGTCCGAAAGATTTGATCGATCGCGTCTTGTTTCCAGAAGGATTGTTGACTCCTATGTTTAACCAGCGTCTAGTGAACCACCTAGGTAAGCTAGGATGCATAATTTGTAACCACAGCAACACAAGTATCTGGATTATGAATGATGCCAAAAAACAAGAATGGTCGAGAACAATCCTTTGCTTGCCAAACTACCCAGTGATGATGTTAGGAGCAGGTGTGGATACATTCTCTGGTGCCACCCCTGCTGGAGAGATTTATGCAACTCAATGTAAGTATGTCTTTGAAAAGTCATTGTATGTTTACTACTATGACATGAACCAAAACAGCTTTAGAAGAGTTCATATCCAAGGTGGTGTTCGCAATAAAACTAAGAAGCCTAGGTATTGTGTGGAAGTATTTGCAATTCATGATCATGTCGAGAATACAATGTGGCTGTAACAATTTTCTTTTGTATTTCTTTTTGTCTCAATTCCTTAAATGTTAGCAGTTTGGCTGTCGACCATCTATATATATTTTGGATTCTTTATTACAATTTACTACAAAATTTTATTTTTATCATGAGTGTTTTGTGTTCACTGTTCACCCTAAGAATTATACTGTATATGTTTCTGCGTTCTGTTTCTCATTTACAACATGTTTTGAACAACTCAAGGTTAAAACACAACACAATAAATTATTATTTATATTTTAATTATATTCTTACGAATATTTATTAGTTTATGTTTATGAATGTTTATCAGTTTATGTTTTATTAATTATAACACAACACAATAAATTATGATTTATATTTTAAATATAATTATGAATGAAAATACTCATTTAGCAAAATATTGTAAAAATATATTTTAAAATTGTTTTATTTGATTTATATTTAATTGTAATTTTTATCTTATTTTTTGCTTCTGCAATAGAAAACTATATTTTAAAGATAAAAAAATACAATATATAAGAAGTATGTTATTTTCTAAAAATATAACATTAGTAATAGATTAATAGAACTTTGTTTTCATTATATAATAAATAATATATGAAATTGTTAAAAACATGAAAAATAAGTATATTACCTAAATCTTAGAAAATTATAAATCAGAAAATTCACTTAAATTTATAATAGAAAATATTTTTACAAAATAACGATATAATACATAAGATTTATCTTATTTTCTCAACTTATAATATTATTAATATAAATTAATTTTCATTATCTAATAAATTATATATGAAATTATTAAAACATGACAAATAAGTAAAATTACCTTAAATCATGGAAAAGTTACAAAGAGTATTGCTTAATTTATATCTAATTATAATTTTTATATCTTAATTTAATTTCTGTAATAGAAAAATATATTTCCAAGATAATAATATAATATATAAGAATTATCTTATTTTCTAAAAAATATAACATTAGTCATATAAATTTGTTTTATTATATAATAAATTATATGCGATTATTAAAAACATGACAAATAAATAAAATTAACTAAAATCATAGAGAAGTTGACTACTAAGCAAACTTACTTCTTAAATAATAGTATAGATTTAAGTAAATTTTTTTATTTGTAACTTCTCCATGATTTAGGTAATTTTGTTTATTTTTCATATTTTTAATATTTTCATATAAAATAAAAACGTAATTCTATTTATAATATTATATTTTTAGAAAATAAGATATTGCTTATGTGCTATATTGTTATCCTGAAAATCTACTTTTCTATTATAGAAACAAAAATTAAGATATAAAATTTATAATTAAATATAAATCAAGCAAAAAAATTATATAAATATATTTTTAGAATATTTTGCTATGTGAATGTTATAATTTATCATTTATTTTAAAACATAAATCATAATTTATTATGTTATTTTGAATTACTAAAATATATACTAATAAGTATTCGTAAGAAAATTATGCACGCATGTATGGGTAAATCATCTAGTGGGAATGTATTTAAACTGCAATTTTTGATTTTCATATGTTTATAGATGAATTTAATGAATCGGAATTAACTATGATTTTTAATACTATAATTTTTTTCAGTTAAGAAATTCCATTCAATACTCTAAAATGATATTAATTTTTTAAGATCCACAAATTAAACCAATTTTTATAACATTTAATAGCTTTTTAGAAAAAAAAATATTAATAAATTTCAATGAGATTTTGTGATAATTATGAAAAACCTTCTTAACATACGTTCTCTATAAATAATCTAGTTTATAAAGTGATGTATGTATGTATGTATGTTGGATATACCGTAAGATTTGTGTTCTTTTGGTTTAACATATAAATTTCCAGCAAGTGGGTTCATTTAAACCGGCTAGGTTCAAGAAGCATCTCTTAGCACACTGCCTTGAGTGATTCATTATTGCACTAAAATCTGATGAATTCAAGACCTGTATATTTGGTGAGTTGCAAGTGAATTGAAAGGCAGTACATTAAAGGAGAAAGAACAAAAAAAAAAACTCCAATATATATAGAATACTTTTGTAAGTATCAAACAAAACAATTGTCAAGACACACCAAATCACACTACTAATAAACATATAAGAAGAGAAGAAGATATAAGCCTCAAGAAAAAGACACTGAATAACAGTATTTGCAACACATGAAACAAAAACTACTCTCCCATTATCACATAAAAGAATCAAATTTCCTGGGATGGAGTAGCTGCTTCTGTTGATGACCTTGATGACTTCAACAATGGTTGTAGAGCTTTTACTACAATGCTCATGTTCGGCCTAAACTCTGATTCGTATTGTACACACAAGGCTGCAACAGCTGCAAGCTGAAAACACAAGAAAAAAAGAAGAAGAAAACATTTCATGATTAGCTTCAAAAGTGGTTTCACAAGCTAAATATGAAACCATAGAAAAAACAGTTAAGCTATTCTTTTTGTCTACCTTCGCAACTGCTTTAGGAGGATAATCTCCATTGAGTTTTGGATCAACACATTGCTTCACCTTGTCTTCACTCAGCCTTGGAGCGGCCTGAAGTTACATGGCAAAGAAACTTAAGTCCAAGAACAATAATAGCACGATTAAAGAGAACACAAAGTGTACTTGTGCTTACCCAAGTGACAAGACTTTGTTGACCACGTGGCATAGTATGATCAACTGGCTTTCTACCAGTCAAGAGCTCCAAAAGCACCACACCAAAACTATAAACATCACTCTTCTGTGTCAGTTGACCAGTCATGGCATACTCTGGTGCATGGTAACCAAAGGTTCCCAAAACTCTAGTAGAATGAAGCCGAGCAGCCATATCAGGAGACTGATTCGATAGATTAAAATCAGCAATCTTTGCTTTAAAATCTTCAAACAAAAGCACATTGCTAGACCGAACATCCCTATGTATAACCGCAGGTTGAACTTTCTCGTGTAGATACTCAAGCCCTCTAGCTGCATCAACTGCTATTCTCACTCGTTGCATCCAATCAAGCGTTGGACCTGGTTGTGCTCCTTGGACTCCTTTCCTCCCATGTAAGATGTCATGTAAAGACCCCATAGTTGCAAACTCATACGCAAGAATACGGAGATTCCCTTCAACACAGTAACCAACTAACTGAACAAAGTTATCATGCTGCAGCTTTGAAACCCTTGAGACTTGAGTCAAGAACTCAAAGTTTGATTCAGGCTCAGCTGAGTTATCAAGCTTCTTGACCGCCACAGCTCTCCCATCATTCAAAGTTGCATAGTAGGCTCTTCCGTATGATCCTTCACCGATCAATGCCTTTGATCCAAAGTTATCAGTCTTTTCTTTCAGCTCTTCCAACGACAATGCAGGGATATCAATAGCTGGAGGTACGTTTAAAGCATCAGGCCTCACAGCAACCTGTTGGGTGGTTTTATTGTGCCCTTTAATACAAAAATAAACATGAAAATATATTAATATATCCAAAAGAATCACAAACTAGTTTGAGGCAAAAGAGTAGTACCGTTGTGGTGCTTAGGGATTCCATGGTGATCATTTTCAGAAGTGTGGTGAGGCTCTTCGATGTGGCAAGCGCAGCACAACCACCTACGCATCTTTTCTCTCTTTCCTATGTAAAGATCGTCTACAGCTCTTGGTTTATCTAGCCGAACAAAGTAACTTGGTGATCTATCGTTGGCCTGCAAACGTCACCACTCGAAATGAATCAAAACCTTTCTCATATCTACACAATCAATACAGAGTAAAAGCAAGGTTCTTCAAACAAACAGAGAGACTGATATATTCTAAAGTATGAGGACATCATTCGAGATTCAGGCTAAAGTTAAAAGACATTTACAAAAACCCCACGAGCTGATTAAACAGGATCAGCTTCAAGATGAAAGCTCTTTTGTGTGTAAATCTTACCGTCTGATCATGGTGGTGATAATCAGGATCCGTCGGATACATATCCAAAAACGTGAATTACAAACAGTCACCAGAAAGACTGGTCGAATCAAGTTAAGAACTTTGGCAGAGAAATGAGAAGGAAAAGACAGAAAGGACCGAGAGAACTCAACAAAAACTCGAAAGAATCAAACGTATTTTAAAAAACAGAGATTTTATTTATAAAAAGAAAACAGCTAAGAGAGAATGTGTCAGACAGAGAGTTATAGACACTTGTCGTCAACAAAACAAAACATATAAACTAAATTTACAAGAATATAATAATGAAAGAGGACAGCAACATACCTGTAAAGTCTATCTCTCTGTTTTGCTGTTCTGTTTTGTTACTTGGAGAGATATTTGGAGAGATTAGAGAGAAGCAGATAGACGTGGGGAACTCGATGAGGAGGAATATATAATGAAGGAGACAGAGAAGCTAAAACGCGCTTAAGGAAAAATCTCGAACAAAGATATTTTATTGTCTTCTTCTGCTTCTGTAGCTTTGCCTTCTTTCTGTCAACATCGTTTTCTATGGTTCTTCTCGATAAATATTCTATCTATATAGAGTCTTTTACGTGTTTGACCTAATGAGGTCTGTTTTGTCGGCGTTGTTCCCTTTGCTCTGAAGAAAAGTTTTACACAGTTTGGAAAAATAGTAAAGGGTAATAGTGGTATATTTGATTAATTTAATATTTTTTAGAAAGTAAAAATGTGGAAAACATTATTGTCAAGTTCTTAAAGTAGTCCAAAAACTACACCTGAATAAAATTTAAAAATGTGAATCAGATTTTCTTTGGTTTGGTAAAAGGGGAAATGTTGAAGATGTTAATTTCTTTTTTAGTTAAAAAATACTAAAATGTTAGCATTAAAGAAATGGTCAATTTTTATTTGTAACATTTAAGGCCATGATTGTCTCTCTAACGACCAACAATTGTTAACATCATCAATGAAAAAACGAATGTTGTGGGCCAAGTGGTATCTATATTTCCTCATTGCTTTAGATGATGGAGGGAAATTTTCTTGGTCAGTCTTCATGTTGACCACAGTCTTGATCTTATGGGTTATTGTGACAACGTCATGTAATTTTGGAGCGTAGAAATGTTGCTTACATCACATTCTTGTTGCTGCTATGGTCAAAGTAAAATATGATGCTCGTTCCAGTTATGAAAACGAAAACTTTACCTTCATGTCGTGTGATGGGATTTCAAACCGCTTTCATAGTGAAGGTGAATCACACAACACGTTGGCCGGTCTTGGATACGTCCAGATGAAACATTGTATATTGGCTTCTTTTTTTTCCGAATTGTTGCCTTTCAAATTGTCGATATTCTTATAAAAATTAATTAAAAATGTTAATGGCCTAAATCTCAGATTCGAGCAACGAGTACTACTGTATGCTGTTTTGGACCTTTTATTCCATCACAAAGCCTCAACTAAAACAGTCGAAGGGCATGGTCCATTAAATTATTGGAAAATTCTTGTTTGATTATTCACTAGAACAACTTTTATTCAGAAGTGAATCGTCTTACAAGTTAAACAAAAAACAAAGAATGGTTATATAACAAAGACAACATTAAGACACTACATAAGAAGAAACAAAACTAGAACACATCAGTGCTAACAGTTTGATCATTTTACAGGTCTTTCGATTTCTTCTGGAACAAGCCACGACATCTCTTAAGTATTTTTTTGGGGGGTTATTTTAAGCAATTAAAATAAGCATATGTTGTGTAGTAAGATTCTTAATTTGTAATATGCAGTAATTTTAAATAAAATACAAAATTTAGAATGCTGGTATTGTAAAACAATTTCTGCAAAAAAATTTTATAGTAATTTTGTTTTGAAGACAATATTTTTGTATAATATATAAGATACAAATAAATAGATTAAGGTATAATGTTTGTCTCTTTCAATAATTTTTGATTATAATTAAAGTGAATGTGAGTAACTGGTTGAGATGTATCAAGTGTATTTAGCTTTACCTTTTAATTACAGCCATAAAAAAATATTAATTATCTTTTAATTTAATTTTTGTAAAGCTAGAATAAAAAAATTAAGAAAATGATGTAGGAATCCTTATTTCTAAAGCATTATTATAAGCTGTAGGATTTTTCATTTGCTCTTCCTTTTTTCCATTTAATCCTTGCATTTACATTGGATACATCTATGATCTATATCAAAAAAAAAATCTACGCCAGATCATCGTGCTGTCTTTTAAGTTGTAATCCATGATCACATAATACATATATGAAATATATATGAAGTTTCATATCATTTTCCTTTTGGCACAAGGTGTTTGTGATTAGTTAATGTAAAGTATTATATACCCACTTTCTTATTCAATATCATTAAACAAGTCAATGATTTCCAGAAAAAGACTTGCTTTCAGTCTCCTCTCTGAATCTGATCCATTGTATCTTACATTCACCATAACCTTTCACCGGTGTAGCTGCAGCTACGGTGTGTTTTGAAGGAAGAAACAAAACCAGTAATGGTGTTTTTCAGTTTTAATGAGATCAAGTCGAAAGAGACTTTGATTGGACTTGTGTTGGGACAGATCCTCTCCCTTCTCTCTACTTCCATTAGCTTTACAACCTCTGAGCTCGCCAGAAAAGGTTTCACCTTCTTCTCAACCCATTTTTAAACATTATTTTTCATTGCTTATACAAATTTTAAAATCTTCTAGGGATCAATGCTCCAACATCACAGTCATTTTTGGGTTATTTGTTACTGGCAATTGTCTATGGAAGTATAATGCTGTATCGAAGACCTGTGGTTAAGGTTAGTGTGTTGAAATACTACTATACTAGTCCTTTTATTGGAAACATCGAGTTTTGTGTCTTTTGTGAATTTTATTAGTAATTCTGATAAGCACAGTGGCAATACAAAACTATATACGTTTCTAGCTAAAAAATATTGCTAACATGTTCCATGCAATGAAAAAATTGTTGTGTAGGCCAAGTGGTATCATTACTTCCTGCTTGCTTTAGTTAATGTGGAGGCCAACTTTCTAGGTGAGTGTGAAACTGACTGATACAACTTTTATTTTATCTTCCTAAGTATTTGGAATGGTGTGCATATTTTAAACATGTGATACTTTGGCTGCTTAATCATTACTTCACCTGATGTGTGTGTTGCCATAATACGTTATTTTTCTTGCTTTGGTGGTGAGTAATATATTACCATGTGATTTTGAACACAAGTCCATTGCTTTGCTTTCACAGTTGCAAAGGCTTTTCAGTACACATCAATGACAAGTGTCATGTTACTAGACTGCTGGGCGATCCCTTGCGTTTTGGTGTTGACATGGGTTTTTCTAAAGACAAGATACAGTTTGATGAAGATCTGTGGTGTGGTTGTGTGTATTGTTGGTGTCGTGATGGTTGTTTTCTCAGACGTACATGCTGGGGATCGAGCTGGTATTGATGCAAACTGATTCATTACTTCTTTTTCTTCACTCTTCACATGTATGCATTTTTCAGGAGGGAGTAATCCTGTAAAAGGAGATCTTCTTGTAATAGCTGCTGCAACCTTGTTTGCTGTCATTAATACCAGCGAGGTTAGTGTTATACTCAAAAACAAATGTTATGGATTCTAATTAAGTATGGTTTTATAAGTCTAGTCTCCATGTTTCTCTGTTATAGGAGTTCTTCGTGAAGAATGCAGACAGAGTTGAACTCATGTCCTTTCTGGGACTTTTCGGCGCAATCATCAGTGCTATTCAGATGTATCCTTCAGATAGCAAAGTCTTAAGACTTTTATATTTTACTTAAACTTAAATGCTATCAAAGAGGATGTTTCTTGACTTGATCCATAGAAGCATATTTGAACGTGATGCGCTCAACGCTGTTAACTGGTCAATAGAAGCTGTAAGTTTTGCTGCTTTCTGTCTCTGCTACACAGAGGGTTTCTCTTTTAGGAGTACAAACTTAAAAGGTCTTAGGCTTTTGTGGTTTCAGGTTTTGCCTTACCTTGGTATTGCAATCTGTGGGTTTCTATTCTACTCTATACTCACAGTCTTACTCAAGGTATTAGACGAAACTCAAAACCATACAATTAATGAAACCTCCTTCACTCTATGTCTTCATGTTGATACGTCCGTTTACTTTCATGCTTCTAAAAATATGGTCTTCTTAGACCAATGGTACTGCAATGTTCACACTCTCGTTACTCACATCAGACATGTGGGCGGTTCTGATCCGCATTTTCGCTTACCATGAGAAGGTTAGCTTCTCAGTCACTTAAACTCCTGTCAGTAGAAACAATCAGTGTGTGTGTGATCATGTGGATTCTACTATATATGTTAGGTTGATTGGCTCTATTACTTGGCATTTGCTACTACAGCCATTGGACTGATCATATACTCAATGTACAGTCTTTTCTCCATCTTTCTTCAACACCAACTTATGCTCTGCACTCTAGAGATCAGTATTCTTAGCCCCTTGTGTTTTCTTTACTTGCCATTCTCATTTCTCAGGAAGGAGAATGATCAGGAGAAACAGAGAAGTGGAGAAGTGGTAGATGAAGAGAGAAAGCTGTTAGATGAGGAAGATGGTGATTCACTTCGAGACAGGCTTATAGATGCTTCCACCTGAACACAAAGCCTGAGGTTTCATGTTGACTATGTTGAGAGATTACATTATTACTTCCAGCAACAAGAAAGGGACTTTTTGTGTGGAAAAAAAGTTTGTAATTTATAACAATTGGTAGCTATAAACAGGGGTAAAGGTTTTATTAATCTTAACAAAGTTGTAAAAAACAAAACAAGAGATTGGGGATTAATACATAAGTTACTTTCAAATGTATCAACTTCTATTGTTCTTGTGTTCTAATTTATTTAACTTACTCCAACTGTAAGCAGATGCATCTCCACACAACTAATTTAGATATCAAAAAGAATTTGCAAGTCTCGTTAGCTACCTAGGTTGCATGGAATCGGAAACGAATACGTATAAATGAAACGTTTTGAAACATGGAAACATGATTTTTTTTTTTGACGTTGGAAACATGATTTATTTAAGTAAAAAAAAACAGAAACGTTTTAGAAATGTCTATAATATATATATATATATATATGATTAATTAACATGCATGTAAGCTTAATTTATTTATTTTTTGATTATCTAAGAGAGAAAATCAAATAATAAAATTGTTATTTTTTGGATACATTTTATAAAATTCTAATCAATAATTAAAAAAATTAACACATGTTATCATTAGAGTCGCTTCAATCCAGATCAAATCAGTATACCAAAATGACAACAATTAGCGAAATATAATATTAAAATATAAATTAATTAACAAGTAATCACTAACATAAAATGGCAAAATAATTATTCTTTCGCGTTTTTAAATTAGATTGACGAGTTTCCAAATCAAAAACGCAAGCTTCCATCGTGTTTCCGAAATAAAATTTTCAAGAAACGTATATTTTCAAAGAATTTCCTCAAATTTCTAAGAAATTTCAATTCTGAAACGTTTCCAAACAAGAGATAGACCTCAGACTTGGGTTTCCATGCAACCTAGCTCCTTACCTTCTCTATCTGAATTTTACATCAAATATTTGAATAATAGAGTTATTCAAATTATATTATTATATTTAATTTTAAAACTATTCAAAATGGAACTTAATTAAAAACAAAACGAATATGTTTTTTTGAATGTTAGCCAGTTTAAATATTATCCAAACCGAAACTTTATTTTTGTTCTAGGTTCTTGAATAAATCCTAACACATCTATCTAAAATCCAAAATCGAAAACCAAATACTACTATCTAAATGCTCAAAGCCTAGATCAGGGCTGGAAAAAATATTCAGACTCGAAGAACCGACCTGAAACCAACCCGAAAGGGTCCGAATCTGATTAGACCCGGGATAAATAATTAAACGGGTCCTATATTACTATATCTGAAGAACCGCTCTCGAACCCGACCTAAATCGAGACTCGAATAAGTATCCAATATCTGAAAATATTATTTATTATTGTTCTTATAATTATTTTAATAATTTAAAATTACAATTATAAATTAAATATATTAGTTATTTTGGTATTTTTAGATAAAATATGGTTTTTGTGATAGAAAATATCCAAATAAAACCGTTTATAACGAGTATTTTTGATTTTTTCTAGGTAAAACAGTAGTTTGGATACAAAATATTCAAACCAAAGTGGGTAATATGGTTACTTTGGATACAAATTAACCGAACCCGTCTCAGTACATTGGTTATTTGGTTATTTTCATATTCCTATACATGAGAACTGAACCCATCTGGTCCCGGGAGGACCTGACTCGAATCCGATCCGAAAATTTATAATACCCGAATGAGTTCTAAATTCAAAACCTGAAAAATTCAATATCCGAAAGAACTGATCGGTACCCGAACAGACATCTGAATGCACATGCCTAACCTAACCTAGGTCAACATCTATCCACCCAGTAGAAGTTGGGCCTAAGCCCAAACCAATAAATAACACGTGTTGAATTGTTATTGGGTAATAGCAAAAATACCTTGGGCGTCAAATTATATGCTTGGTGGTGGTGGTCATCACTCTTCCGTGTTCCTACTACACGAACCAGAACAAAAGTAGAACCCTAGCTGCCTTCCTCGTTCAGGTTTATTCCACACGAAACTCAATCTCGTTTACGAAAGAAGCACCTAGTAGATTTTCAATCAATCAATCAATCTGCTTCCATGGTGGGTTTCTCTCTCTCTCTCTCTCTCTCTCCCTCTTCGCTTCTCCTCCATTCTTCTTATATCTATTTAACGCTGCTTTAATCTCTTTGGGTGTGATGACTCTTATGTCCTTTTGATAAAGTCACTTCCTTTTGGGGTCAGCTTGTTTGTGCTATGTTGTATAAAAGCGTGCAAATTGAATTAGGTACAAAGTATTTAGCTTTGAGAGCTTTTATTGCTGACGGCTCGTTTTATGTTTGATTGAAATCCATCCATATTAGTATTAAGGTTGTAATTGCAGTGATTAGAATATACACTTAATCGAAAGTAGCATTCTTTTGTAAGAAAATTACTATGTTTTGTACTTTCTAGATTTGATCATTAGGCAAAGATGTTTAGCGAGTAATCGTATCGAACCCATAGATAGATATCAGTGGCTAAAGAAAGGACTGTGATTTATCATGCTGCCAGTGTTTTCTTATTTCTCTCTTTTACAGGCTAGTAGAATAATTGCGCAGTTCATTGTGATGGGTTCTGGGATATTGGGCCGTGCTGTCTTTCAAGCCTATCGTCAAGCCATTGCAAGTATGTTTCAACACTTTCTATTACATATGCTAGGTTTTTTTTTTTTTACATCTAGTGCTCTCTTAGGAAGATCTGTGTTTTCAATTGATTGATAGGTTTGGTTTGCAAAATGCGTGATGAGTGATCCTGGATTTTTTTTAATGCTCTTAGAACGCTTTGTAAGTTTGTTTCCTAAACATATTACTCTGTTTTAATCAGATTGCTTTGTTAGCTTTTCTTGGCATCAATGGTTGGTTACGAACTTACGAGTTGCATTTAGAACAGGTCATATGTTACCTAAAACAGATTGTTCTGTTTTATTTGAGTATTGTTGTTAATCGGTAGTTAAGTCAAAAGTGTCTTGTAATGTAATGTAATGTAATGTAATGTAATGTAATGTAATGTAATGGAATGGAATGAAGGCCTATCTCACTCTCCAAACTTTCTTTTCGCAGATGCGTCAAAAACTGGCGTTGCGCAGGAAGCAATGCAGAATGCAGTACGCAAAGCAGGAAAGGCCATTAATGAGCAAGAAGCTAGGCAAATTCTCGGTGTAACCGAGAAGACCTCTTGGGAAGAGATATTACAGGTAAAAAGCATTCTACTCCTTCGTTGTAATCTGAAACTATTTAGGGAAAAATAACTAAAAGGAGAGTTGGTTGGTTTGGTCTATATATGATATGATGAATGCAGAAATACGACAAGCTGTTTGAGAACAACGCGAAAGCTGGAAGCTTTTACCTTCAATCTAAAGTACTTCGAGCCAAAGAATGTCTTGAAGTTGTGTACAAGACCAAAGCTACCTAGTTAAAGACTTTTAATCTTCTTTATTTTCTTATAGAATTCATTTTGTTTGCTCGTTTTATGTAAAATCCAAGACGATGTTTACCAGTTCTTGCCATAGTTTTCGGTTACCTCTTACTTAGTAATAACGAAGGGGGCTTGCTCTGTTTAGTTGTGTGATCGGTGTCAAAGAACCTCGTAAGATTTGAAACTGAGATAAATCTACAGTTTGTTATGAGAGCTTATATGAAAGCTAAAAAGGAATTCCAGATTATTGCAAATTTAATTTCACAAGGGTGGGTGTATTTACACTAAGCAAGTTTCTAAGCACAACCCAAGGTTGAAAAGAAATGTAAATTAAACTCAAGATCATATCGTACATAATGAGCCAACTTTACTAATTAAACATCCCGTTTAGAGCCAAGGGAACTAGCACATGCATGTAAACTAACTGACACGTTAACTATTCAAGTTAGGTCATTCTTCAAATCAATAGTCTGATTAGACTTTTGAAGATATCTTCCTGAACTCTCACAGTCGCAGAGAATCTCATCATCATCATCCAGAAGATCTTAAGAGACTTGACAACACTCCAAAAGAAAAATCTAGCATTGAAAAACTCACCTATCACGCCAAAACCAAAATCCTAATTTTCATATTTTGCTATAAGTTGCTTTAAATACAGTTGATCCTAAATTCATAAGCACTCCCTCTTTGGTGGCCTCTGCTTCTTTCTCTACCCTCAAGTAAAGTTTCTCCATTATCTTTTTCTAATTTATATATGTATGCTTCTTCTTTTATACTTTGTTCTTCCTTTTATATGTTTTAAGTTTGTTTTATACTTTGTTCTTCCTTTTATGTTAAAGAGATACCTATGCTCTAGTGGGTTTGTGTTTGATTGATTCTTATCTCAAACTCATTTCTTTGGTTCAGGGTGTAACTGGCGATTCTCTTCCAAAAATGGTGAATCTTGATTTTGATGACTGCATCCGTATGTATCCTGGAGTGACAAAACAAGAACGTGACAAGATCCGCACACGTTTTATAAGCCATGTCGATCGTAAACTGGCTTCACACAGGGATGCTCCTTTAAACAGATTCTCCATCAAGTGCAAAGATGACGTTGGTCCAGCTCCTGTCATTCGTTGGATAAGCGAAGTTCTGAACCGTCATGTAACAGAACTTGTTCTGCACGTCTCTTCTCATTGGTCTTGGCCTCTGTCTTCCCAGGTTGTTGCGAGCGAAACAATGTGTCAGGAGATTTGGGAATCTTGCTCTGTATCTAGCGTTACACTCAAGAGACTAACCTTTCGGTTTAAACAAATGTTTACTGAGAATCCAAAGAGTGTATCGTTTGATACTCCTAATCTTGTCTACTTTGAGTATTCTGATGCTATTGCAGATACCTATCCAAAAGTGAACTTTGCTTCGCTTGTTGAAGCTAGTCTTGATCTTCGAATGACTCATGAGCAGATCTCTAAAGCTAAATTTTCAGAGGATGATCTACTTAAAGAGGAAGAGGGAACTATGGTTGGGAATGCAACGGTTCTTCTTATGGGAATATGCAATGTTAAGAAGCTTTACTTATCTGACAACACTCTTGAGGTCAGTTCTGTCCTAATCATAATGGTTTCAACTTTCAAGTTAGTGATGTGATGATCTAGTTGAAATGTCTTTTCTTGGTTCAGGTTCTGGCTTTCTGCTGCAAACCAATGCCGGTTTACAACAACCTGATTCATCTAACTATTAAGACTGACCGAGATGTAGAATGGGAATCATTGACTGCACTTCTCAAGAATTGTCAAAATCTAGAAACCCTTGTCTTTGAGGTAACCAAATGTATCCTTTATTTCATTGCAAAGTGAAATAGATTTTGAAGTTAGTTGACTTCTGTGTGTGTTATAGGGACTTCTCCACAGAGATGGAATGAGTTGTGGAAGTGGAGAGTGCCTATGCAAACCCTGGGAGGAGGAAGACGTTCCTAGTTGCTTATCATCAAGTCCTGTGAAGATCCTTGAGATAAAGAAGTTTGGAGATATCGGTGAAGACGAGGACATGGATAAAATGATGGAGCAAGTTGAGTACTTCCTTGAGACTATGCCTAATCTTGAACAACTCATAATACACTATGAGACGGATATTGATGAAGATGTGGAGGAAGTTTTAAGGCAGTTTCAGATGGTTTCTAGAGAAGGTTTAAGCAGGTGCAAGATTCAAGTCATTTCTGATAACCTCAACTTGTCATCTACTTAAAGCATCTCTTAAGTTCTTTTGGTTTCATTCATGCCTTTTTCTACCATCTCAAAGGCATGAGTGTGTCTCTGCTTTATGTTTGTAGTACAGTGAAACCTCTATAAATTAATAATGTTGGGATTACACCAAAATTTATATCTAATGACTTGTTTTGTTTATGCTCTTGTTGGCCAGACCACAACTCAATGTTTCAATCTTTCAGTTTATGTATTAAAGTTTTAGTTTGTCTTTTTTGAAGAAATTATTCTTTAATCCCAGGGAAAAAAGAATAGCTACAAATTGTGAAAACAGGTCTTGTAAGTTTCTTATATGTAACTAAATATGAAACGGATAAACTGTAACTAGCTAGAGTTTGGTCTAACATTGTTTATTACATAACATTGATATGATCTCAAGATGTAGGATTAAAAATCCATGTGAAATAAAAGAAGAAAACCTAAAAACGTTTTTTTTTACTCTGACCTCCAAGACTTAGCTCTTTCAAAGCCATTCTTGGCATTGCGATAGTCATCAATGGTCACATCAATCTCAGCCTGTGAGTTCATTACAAATGGACCATGCTGAACCACAGGCTTGCGTATCGGTTCACCTGCAACCAACAAGAACCTCAACGACCTAGAGCTTGACGTATTCAACACGCTAACTCCATCCCCTTTTCCAAACACTACAACACTATGTGCTTGTAGTGTGGAAGAGTCTGAGAAGCTAAACACGCCTTCATCACCATCTATAACATAGGCAAAGGCGGTCCATGACTCTGGAACGGTCTGGTGAGTTTGAGCTTTTGGCTTGAGAGTAAAGTCAAGGAACATGATTGGTACTTTTGTGTAGAAAGGAGATTGAACTCCCATTGATTCTCCGGCTATGACTTTGACCTCTACTCCATCTTCCTCAGCTCTTGGAATCTCTGAACTCGTCAGTTCTAGGGCTTTTGGATCGATCCTGTTGAAAATCAAAGAACACAGATCTTTAAAACACTGAGAAAGCTGAAGGAGAGTGAAATCTAATTTGAAGAAACTTCTTTAACATTTTGTCAGTGGAAGGAAGGTTGATCCAAAGCTGTAAGCCGTTGTTGACTTGTTCTTCAGGCATCTCAGAATGTATGATTCCTTTTCCTGCTGTCATCCACTGTAATAAAACCAGAATCAAAAGAATGAAACAAGAAAATTAAGCTGGTCTGAAATGTTTGCTGTTTTTCTTCTTCACCTGAACATCTCCTTCATGGATTGTAATTTTATGACCATTGAAGTCTTGGTATATGATTCCTCCCTGCATAACGTTAAAACCATTTAGATAGCATGAATGATATAAATCTTCAAACCAAGATGGTAAGTCTTTGTCACCTGTAGCATGTATGTAACACTTTCAAAACCTGCATTGAGTTGATCTGATTACATCAGAGACATTACACTACAGAGAAAGCTTTGTGTGAATATAAGAATAAATAAGTAATTTGACCTCTGTGAGGGTGATCTCTGAATCCACCTGGGGGTGAAACTGATCAAGAAACAGATAATGGCTAATTAGATTAGCTTTTGATAAGTAAACATAAATATTGGAGGAGTTAAATAACATTACCGGAAAATTCTACAAGTGATACAAACGGGTCCAATAACTCATGGTCAATCCTGAATGTTAACCCAATAAGATTAGATATATGAAACATGAAGGTCAAGCAAGCCATTTTTTCCTGAAAAAAAAAAGAGGAAGAAATAGAAAACATTCACTTGGTGAGGCTTTTTCTAACAACAGCACCATCACCTTCATTCTCAAGATCTGCAGATATCTTCGTAATGACCTGACGCAATTTCATGCTGATGATTTTGATGATGGTAAAAACTATGTTAATGTATATATATATCGTATGTCTCTCTTTCTAGCAGTCCCAAGATTTATAATAACAAGAAGCTTTTCTAATTGAGGACTTGATAATTAACGTGCATGCATATTTCTATATCATCTGTACGATATAAAAGCAGAGAATCGACCAAGACTGATATCAATCTCAACAGAAAATTTTAGAAAGGAAATAAATCGGAAATTCTTGAAAATTGAAAGCTACCGAAAGCATTTTATACTTGTATACAGTACTGCTTGTGTATTGCTTATTGGGAAGGGTTGTACCCAGTGTTTTCACTCTCAATTATCTGTGGTCCGACCACTAAATCCGATTTCGGTTTTAAAAAATATCCACTAATTAAAAATCTGATAAAATTCGTTAAAAAAATTTAAACCCGTGACTCAGCTATCGGTTAAACCATCAGGTGAACCAATAAATTATTTTTATTTAGTTTTTCTTAGGTTTTTAACTATTTTATTAAATATTTTTTGTGTATCCAAAATAAAAAGTTAAATTTTTGCTTTTAAATTTTTAGTTTTCCCAGAAATTAATGTTTTTCGTGCTATCATATATATTTTATATCTTATTCAATTTTTTTTAAATTTTTTTTGTTGATTTTATAGTATAAACTTCATTTTTATTCTAATCACATGCTTTTATTTTTTTTTATTTTTTTTACATGTTTATAAATAAATAGTGTTTTTGTTAATCAAATTTATTGATCTTATTTAACTTTGAAAAATCGTATATAATATTGACTAAAACATTTATTAATTTTGATGAACATTGCATTATGCCTCTTAAAAAAATATTGAATAATGATAAATGTCTAAAATTTATGATATTTTAGTTTTGTTATGATTTACTATATGTCTTAACTCAGTTAATGTAATTTTAAATATTTTATATGTGAAATAAAAAAATAAAGAGAGAAATTTAAATATTTTATATGTTTTTTAAGAAATGTGAAATTTTTCTTATATTTTTAATAGTTAGTATATAAATATTTATTAAAATTAATTAACATATTGATTTGTGGTTCACCCATGGTTGATCCAGTAACCCGGTGACCCAGTAAGATGTCTGGTTCAGTGTTTGAATCGGGTTTAAAAACATTGGTTGTACCTTTATGGGTGTGATTAGGCTATAAGTTTTTGGAATGTGACTTCAATTTTTTTTGGCTGTTGATTCATTTTCAAAACAACTGAAGCACTATAAATAAAAGCGATAGAAATTTTGATTTCCAAAGCTAGCATATTTCTTTTTTTTTGAAAAAAAAATCTTGGCTCTAAGATTCAGTTTTTAATGATAGAACATGATTACTTTACAATAGTGATTTTTTAAAAAAAAAAATTTAAAAAGACTTTTGACAGCATCTACGGCATTTCTCAATCAATCCCATGATCCTTCTTCCCATAATGGTTTGTTTGTAATGCAGTTTGTCAAAAATGAAATCAATCTATCAAATATTCATTTGATGTTATTTTCTCTTGATTGCTTTACAAAACTGACTTTAAAACCAAAATAGTTGTTCACAGCATCTACAGTCATTCTTAATCAACCCCATGATCCTTCTTCCCATAATGGTTTGTTTGTAATGCAATTTTTCATATATGGAATAAAAATCAATCAAATATTCTCTTGATGTAAACGTATCATTATTCATTATGAAAATGATTCTCTAGCAATTTGCTTCTTCTTCAAAAAGGTATTTGGTGTTAAGCTTCAGAATCATTCTGATACACAGTTTATAACTCATTCAAGATCTGTCACTATGTACTCGAATTAAGAAGAAGATAAGATGGATAGAATCAGCACTCTACCAGTAGCTCTGATGAGTCACATATTATCATTCCTCCCCACAGAAGAATCTGCTTTGACTTCAGTTCTCTCCAAAAAATGGCGGTACATGTTTGCTGACAGACCAAACCTTGACTTCGACGGCTCAGTCATATGTTTTGAACCTGGTACGTGTGAATGGAAAAAGACTGAGATTCTGAGAGTCTTTACTGATTTTGTTGATAGAGTTTTGGCTCTGCAAGGGAACTCTACTCTAAACGAGTTCTCTTTAAAGTGTGTACATGGTGTTGATCCAGATCGTGTCACACCTTGGATATTAAATGTGTTGGAACGTGGTGTGTCAGATCTTGATTTACACTTTAAACTTGCTGGGGTTTGTCTCCCTTCAGAGGTCTTTATGAGCAAGTCACTGGTGACGCTGAGGATAGAATCTGAAAATGTTATAGCCATTGATCTGGAAGATGTGTTTCTTCCAAAGCTCAAGACTCTTTACATCAACAAAATCATGTTAGGTCAAGGTGGTGATTGTTTTGAGAAGTTAACTTCTGGTTGTCATGTCCTTGATGAGTTGGTTCTTATTAATGTCTACTCTGATTTTTGGAACCGTTCTTTGTCTTCCGAAACACTCAAGAGACTAGCCCTATCTTGTATAGACTATGACAAGAATCCGGATAGTGTTTCATTTGATACACCAAATGTTGTCTACTTGGAGTACTCTGATTACGTGGCGGGCAAGTATCCAAAGGTCAAGTTGAATTCACTTGTTGAAGCTGTTATCGACCTTTCAATGACAAGTGAGCAGCATGCACAAGCAAGCTATGAACATTCGGTGGGCGATGTAACAGATTTTCTCATGGGAATAAGCAGTGTTCAGACCCTTTACGTATCTGCCAACACTCTTGAGGTATAGTATTGTAACATTGATAACTTTTGAGTTAAATAATTGTACATTTATGAGGAAATGTTTTTGTTTTCAGGTTCTTACTTTCTGCTGTGACCACATACCTGTGTTCCACAACATGGTTGATTTAACTATTCAGTCAAGCAAATCAGGATGGGAATCATTACCGGCTTTACTCAAGAAATGTCCAAATCTTGAAACCCTGGTTTTTGAAGTAACAACACTTATTATATCTCTTTATTGCATCTTCTAACACAGACAAAACTTGGTCATCAAGTTGTGTTTCTACTATTTTTCAGGGACTCAGCCACACATATACAATCAAATGTAGAGATGTTGATGGGTGCCTATGCAAGTTTTCAGGGGAGGTTCCTACTTGCTTATCATCAAGTCCAGTGAAAATTTTAAAGATTACGAAATTTGGTGTAGAGAAAGAGACAGTGCTGCTGATCAAGTACTTCCTAGAGACAATGCCGCGGCTTGAAGAACTGATGATATACTATGATGATACATTGTTTGAAGATGATGTGATTGAACTGTCAAGTGAACTTAAGAGCTTTCCTACAAAAGCTTCACCAAACTGCAAGA